TATGGTTGGCCTTTTTTATTGTTGTTTATAGTGACTCCCAGTCTTGATTCACTGATTGACTGCGAAGACTTACTAAAAATGGGATTTCTTAGCAAATCTTCTCAGACTTGAAGGTCTGTGGGTCTAATGTGCATCTATTGTGGGGAGGGGTTCTTGACATGAAAAGTTTATCTGGGGGGATCATTTATCCATTTCCCCAAACCTCAGTTCACATATCTGGCTATCTTTGGAACATTTTTGGTCTCCATTAGATTTAAAGAATTACAGTTCTATGAATCTTGTAGGTTGTTGGCCGCCCGATGAATTTCTAATACTTCTTTTTTGGCGCTGAGGTCAGTCCAATTTAGAGTCGTACCTACGGAAAGAAACAGCTAGCCAAAAAGAATCTCTTTGCAGATGGCCTTTATAGTTTTACTTAAACATCCATTTGCCATTCTCCTTTCCAAAAACTCCTCGATTTCATTATCTAAAACTCAAATTGGCCCTTCACAAAGACTGAAATTAAACAACGCCACACATAAAAAACTCTTGACTTCAGACTGGATTTTTGGCAGACTTGTCAAAAATAAATACAGACCTCTAGACAGAAATCATTTGATTGGCCGACTGACTGATGTGGGTGTGTGTTTTGTGTGTGAATGTTGAAAACAGCTTCCTACTGCCAGCACAAGTGTTTGTTAGATGATCTGTTCTCAACAGCTCAGTCTGTATTGTTAGCCATGCAGCAGACTTGCTAAGAGTCGCCGACTCGCCACATGGTGCGTTGACAATGTGGTAACATTATTCTCTTTCTGCCTCCTTCTCACCTCTCCGTCCCATTCTGCCCCCGTCACCACCTTGTTTCTTGCTCTTTCTCTTCCTTCTGCAATCTTCTAATTTACGACATTGTGGGTTGTCAGGATTTATTTTAGAGCCAAAATACAAATCAATAATTTGCCTGAGGGGGTTCTTTACATTCGGGGGGGGGGGGGGTGTCAAGTGCAAGTAAACCTCAGGCTGCACAGGATGCTGGTACAGAACAACCCAACAAAATCACATTATATACAAAATATTGAGGACAGAATTTCTGATACATGAAGATTTTATTTGAAGAATGTGGATCCAGGAGGACGTTGAACACCTTCAGATATACGACCACCTCTCCACCGTGTAAGATCAGGAAGAGGACAGGCCAAAGAATGGAGCAGATTTTGATGGTAAAAATACACATAGATTGTAAAACGTAAGTAAAGAGGAGGATCCAGGAGGACGTTGAGCAATGTCAGGTGCCACACAACCTCCTCCCAGCCATGGAGACCTGGGTGAGGACGGTCTACACAGTCACAGAAGAGACAGTGCAGCATCCTGCTTTAAACGTTAGGAGACCCTAGAGTGAAACTGGAAGGAGGGGGAGGAGAAAACAAGAGAGAGAAGAAGAGAGAAAGTTTACCATTTTATTCATAAAACAACTTTCTTTTCTTTCTGCTCTCATAGAGCAGCAGCTTACGACCTTTTCTGTCTGACGCACTCCCACAGCCGTGTCAGATTAACTCAAATACCCCTTTATCTCTGATATCATGTTCCAAATATCATGTTGTACGCTATTATGTCATATTTTAATTAGTGTGGGCGTGTGTGATTGTTTCGAGTGAATGAACTTTACTTTTGTGATCTTGTAGTAATTTGTTCTCTCACAAAAGAGATCTTGATCTTTTCTGATTAAATAAAGCTTAACTATTTCAATAGTTAATCCATTACCTTCACTAATCCAACTACTTTAACAGTTTATCCTTTTCTTTTATAGGTGTTTACTTAGTTTTAGCTGTTTCAATCATTTATTCGCTAACCATTTAAACAGTTTATCCATTACTTTAAGCTAAATTTCAAATGTTACTAGACATATTTCGGCCTTTTTTTTCCAACTTAACACAAATATTGGATAAGTTCTCCAAAAGTTTCTCAATCAATAGTTGAGTTTGGGTTGAATTAATGATGTACACTGAGTCAGCACCTGTTCTTTTATGTGTATGTGCACCATTTGCACTCATTGATTTGGGTAAACCATAACCCAAATCATCATAAATAAAGTATATTTTATCCTCCTCCTTACAGTTCATCTACTTATCTCAAGATTTATATCCTCATCTAATATGTCGACTATGAATTTTCATTAACTATACTTTAAGCTTAAAGTGTAAATAAAAACCCTATAAAACCTCCCTTAGGTCCCCTGTTGTTACACCAACTACTGTACACTTAATACCTTGTAAATTTTTTATAGGTTGAGGTGTGAGTGTCCCGAATTCAACATAAAGTCCTCCCATGATAACCAATTAAGCCCTTAAACACTAACCCATCTTTCTCCCCTCCTGACCCAGGTACATGTCTGATTCTGGGCTGCATGATCTACCCAGACGGCTGGGACAGCGATGAGGTGAAGCGGATGTGCGGCGAGCAGACGGACAAGTACACGCTGGGGGCCTGCTCGGTGCGCTGGGCCTACATCCTCGCCATCATGGGCATCATGGACGCTCTCATCCTCTCCTTCCTGGCCTTCGTCCTGGGAAACCGCCAGGACAGTCTGATGTCTGAGGAGCTTCTGGGAGACAGTAAGAGGATAATACCTTCATGGCTCATCGTGTCTGGACGTAGGCGGGGAATACAGTTGGTCCACATACTTTTGTGTATTTAGATCTCGGGCAGTTTTCATGGTTTTATTTCAAATTAAGGGCAATCTCAATAGTAAAGCATACAGTGTGTTTTACAGTGTGCTTCCAACTTTAAGGCAACAATTCATGGGAATTCAGTTCCCTGAAGAAGGGTTTTCCCAGTTTGGTGTGGAAGAACTTGACCTCAACCCTTTTCAACGCACTGTAAAACCCAATTGAGTTAGTTCAGCTCAGTTTGAGGAAACCAGTTGCTTTAAATGGTTTAAGTCTATTAAGTCAAACAATTTAAGCATGACAAAGTATTTGAGTACAAGTAATTCAAGTATTTGTTAAGGTAACTTAAATAAGTTAATTATACCAATTTAATTCAGTTAATTGAACTCAAAATAATTAATAAATAGTATATCACAGTCATAATGGGAATAATAATAATGTATCTGACTAAAGTAAGACATCCTCTTTATACAAATGTTACAACTTAAGTTTAATTTACTCCATACCTTTAGTTACACTAAAGCAAATTATTATTATTAATTATTACCTGTTAAAACAGCTAACGTAAGAAAAAAAAACTTAATCGATTATCAAAATGGTAGC